AGGTAGAAAGATAAGGATGGATAAGGAATCACAGAACAGGTTCCAATGAGCAATACGAAAAGAAGGAAGTACCTCGTCTTCATAAAGCAGTGAAGAGTCAGAAACAAAGTCCAGAAGAGGAAAAGTTAACCAAAATAATCTACAAGTAAGGCAGGTTCCACAGAAGGAATAGAAACAAAATGACTAGGGACCTGAACTAAAAGAGAAATAGGCAGAAAGGAAACAACCACCTGGTGTATCAACCACATCATCAGTGAACTTGATGGTACACCATTGTTCATCACGCTAATAAGGTTGTGGAAGTTAAGTTATCCCTGGTATTGAAAATACCTTACCACAGAGTGGAATCCAAGACTTGTCACATGCAAGACTGTGCTATACTAAGTGAGCTAAAAGGACAACAACTAAATGTCAGGTTCATAAACAGATAAAAATAGAGAAAATGTCTGAAAAGAAACGTCTGGGCCTCTGGACTTTTTTTACATACATATTTTAAATGGCAAATATGTTGTTGATAGAGGCCTAGAGTAGAAATGTGATGGCTAGAAATGACAAAGTCACAATCAGGTGAATGGAACAAGAGTAACAAGGGCAAAAGCAATGTGGCACTACAGAAACAAAGGCAGTTGATTAAAAGTTGACTACAAACTCAAAAACACAGGGAAAAAAAATGTCTGAACAGAATCAGTGCCAAGGAATAAAATGAGCCAATGATCATGTATTAATGCTCACAAAAATTAAATTACAGCATGTGAAGGTTGTGCCACCCTCCTAGTGCTAGAGAGGTATAGCATCAAGAAAATTACTTCATAGGTTGGTGGAAAAAACATAAACATGTTTAGGGATGGGAGTATATTCAAGGCTTGTGACATGCACAGGAAATTCCAGACAGTTGTGCACAAAGTAAAAGCTTTTAATAGTGCAGAAAGGTAGCTAGCATTTCTGAATTTATTATACCAACTTCAAAACAAGATATATATAATACTTCTGACTATCACTGGACTCTGCCATCAACAGCTTTTTGTCCACTAACTGACTTCACATGATCACAAGTTACACTTCTAACCAGAATTCTTCCAATCATATTTTCAGATTCAATTTCTTTTATAACTGCAAATCCCCTTTCAAATAATGTCTGGCCTTGTAATAGCAAGAACAACATGTTTTTAAGCTGCCACAACTTTAGGAAGGTTTTCTTTGGGACATATAATCAAACCAATGATCCCTATTGATAAGTGCCATTCTGATAGAAGGCTTCCCCCTCCACCATTTTAAGGTAATCTCTTTGTTTCTGTTAGCACTTGAAGATTTTTTTTTTCAGTTTGTTCGTGGATCCTGATGAATTGCTATGCATCTGCTGTGGGTCATGGTATATCATGCATCTTTCAAAAATCTTTGTGGCTTCTGAATCACACACACGTAGCTTTTGTGCAGTCAGATCATTCACAACTCCATTCTGGGTGTATCTTTCATGCAAGCTCTTAGTAGTAAATAACTAGTAGATAGTAACCAATTCAAAAACAAAAAAACTAGCTTTGCAAATAGGTCTTGAATTTTTTCTTGTACATCACATAATGACTGATTGCCTGAGTCTAGTAGTTTTTTAGCCTGCACAGATTTGACATAGGAACAGATGTGTAGCAATTTACTTTTGATGGTTTAAAAGGCCCCATGCACTGTATACAGATCACAGCCTTCAGTATTTAATAAGGAGTTGTATTCTTTTATTCTTTTGCTTGAGTGGTTTGAAAATTCAAGCTTTATTGTTCAAGCAGGAATTTCTTTGTTCAACTGCTGAATAAATCCTGCTGCTGGGATTCGGGTTACAGCTTTCCATGCTATGAATGATTCTAGAATGCCACAGTTCTCAACTGCTTATTCGTATGTATCAGCCATTGCCCAAACAGCTAGACTGAATACTGCAGCAGTCAGTTGAATATGTAGAAGATAGTGTACTTGTATGCACACAACATTTTGAGCTGAGGTAACAAAAACATGAGAATGTTTATTTAATCAACACATATTTGAATATTTAGTTGAGAAATTCTAGGGTTTCTCCAGAACAAAGTTAATTTAGTCTGTTTCTTCAAGGACTATCCAGGCCAGGAAATTAATTAATATAAAATTCCAAGACATTCCAGGAACCCCAGAATGTATACAAACCCATTTTAAAAGAATATATTTCTAGGAAAGTTGAGAATCTATCAAAAACTGCAGGACATGTTTTAACAAAGTATAACATTGCTGTCCCTAGTGAAAACTTTGTGATGTTGAAGATGAAGGGCAATTACAAAACTGAAGTCAACATTAAACTATCAAATTTTGCAACAATACATCTCCTCAAGCTGTAAGTTGTTAATATATATATATTTCTTTCAGAATTAATTCTCAACTACATACATACACATATGCATGTAAGCTGCCCTGCCAGAGTATCCTGATATTGAGAAAAATTCCTAGTGATTAGAGACCAGTTATAAGGTAGCATCACCTCTACCTTATATAACTGTTACTATACTGAAAGACATCTTCTCAACTAGATTCTGATAGGTGTCTTGTGCAGCTTGATTACGATGCTATTTTCAAAATGTGTTTAACTAATGATGACTGGCTGTAACTTAATCTTTTGTAGATGGCCCACAGATGGTCTATAGGATAACTATCTGAGTGATGAGTGGATTAACCTAAAATTGATATTGTTGAATGAAACCAGGAATAAATCATGAGTTTATTTTACTTCTCGAACAACAAGAAACTATGTCATGACTTCTTTATTAAAGTTATTCAAGATGTTTTGGTGTCCATGCATATTTAGATGAGCAAGATACATGACAGATAGGTTTTTCATAAACTGTTCAGAATGTAGTTCACACCACAACACCTTAACCACATTTTCTACAAGCTGGCACAACACAATCATGGTGAATTATTCTGCTTAATTTTAGATTAAATTCAGCCATCATTCTTTCTGTGTTGATAAGCTTTACTGTAAGAATTCTAGGGAAGATGTATGATTTACATATCCACGTACCCACATTCTTGAAAAGTAGAGTGTACAGAAATTTACAGATGGTGTACACTCACAAGTGGCTGCATTAGATGAAGTACAGTAACTATAATTATGCTACACAGATGATTTGTTTTATAACAAGTGAACCTTTGTCACCACCAACAGTTGTCTTTGCTGTTTTTTAAATACTTTACACATACTATCATGTCCGCAACTCCAAAGAATAGTCTCATTCACAATAAACCATGTATTCCAATAAATATCCACTCTTTCAGTAACCTATAATTCTTTATCTCTCACTATTACACAATTCCAAAGATTTAACATTTGGCAATCATTTTAACATTAAAAAACTATCAATTTGGTGTGTATATCTTTATTAAAATACAACAAGTTTCTTTGTTGAATGTGATAAGTGCCAATTCATATGGTCAGTAAGTGTATTGAAATTTTGGTAGGGCAGTGTATATATATATCACTTGTTTATGACCGTCAATAATGAATGTATACTCATTTAATGTTTTTCAACATTTCTAGACAGAAAACCATATGAAAAATCAAATATATTAGTATTTTCTCCAATGTTCTATTATACATTTTTTTGCAACAGCCTCATTACAAATTCTAACATTTTGCTAATTGAAGTTAGAATAGCTTTTACCCTTCCTGGACAAAAGAGTATCATTGATATCTCTTGATTTTTTCCCTTCTCACAGTGGAAATACTTAGCCAAATTCCATGAAATTTGGTCCAACTTACTAACTTGCATCTAGTTTCAACCTTAAAAAATTCATGTAATTTGATTTAGTTTTTCTATTATTTTTAAGTCTGAAATCCCCACACTTTTGTTGCAAGTCACTGTTTCAAAAAAGAAAAACATTAAAAATACATCCTTTCACCTTACCATTTCAATTACTTAATGTCAAACAAAGTTCCATTTTATATACCCAGTCACTTTCAATCTGAATGATATTTACTAAAATGTTTCTTTTGATACATTACTTTGCCAATTGCAGTACTCACCACTTCTAACAATATATCAAAGAAAACATTGGAAAAACTGACAAAAGTTTGAGGGTGACCCAGGACCTGATCTATCACAATGTCACCATAATCTTTATCAAGCTAGGTAAATCAAATTTTTACAAACAATATTCTTGTAAAAGAAGGAAATTTGTTGTTTTTAAACAAATATAATTTAACAGCAAGAACATCTTCAGAAATGAAAAGAATATCTCAAGAAACTATAAAAAAATTTAAGATCTGAGGTTTATTCCCACATTTATTAAACTTTCCATTTGATTCCTTTGTCCATCCCTGTGGGAGTTCAATCTAGCCAATTTCCAAAGAAACCATAAATTATCGCTCACACCTCTATTTACTCTACACTGATGTAAATAGCTTACAATTTGCCTTATTCAATGGTACTTAAACTTTGCCTGTAGCTATTTTCAAAGCTATGCTTCATAAGTAATTGTTCAGACTATATGCTATGACATCATAAAAGAGTGGGAACGAAGGGCTGTAATAATGAAACCTTTAACAGAGGAGGAAAATCACAAGAGAAGCAAAAACATATATATATAACTATGTTCTCAAGGTATGATAGTTTCTTACAAAATATATGCTTTGGGATGGGCAGCAAGTTCTAAAAATATAAAAATTTATTAGTGTGCTATTTATAGGCAAGACACCTTGAAGCAGTGCAGCAATGACATTTTATGAAAATTACACCAAATAAATGTAACAAAATGACAAAATATGAATTCTCAATTATCTCAGAAGTAAAAATTTTTATGACAGGATTTGAATTATTATTTGTACTTCAATTGTGAAATTTGATAAACAAGTATGCACTCAACACTTGGAATGCACTCCATGGTCTTGGTAAGGGTTAAAACAGGTTGATGTAGGTTAGTATTGTATAATCAGCTACTATACCTTTATCAGCAAAATCTACCAAATCAGGCTTGAAAATTCAGTGGCCTACCTTGCAGGTGGAACATCATCCTCTAGCACCATTCTTCTCAAAATTACACTAGGATCCTCTTTCAGCACTGAAAAATAGCTTCCATAGGCAATAGTACCTGGATAAATACAAAAAACAAGCACTGAAAACATATTTTCCTAAGTTACATAAAATTATGATTTATCTGTTATGAAAATAACAGTGGTTTGATAATAATATTTTGTTATTTGATACAATTGCTAAAAAAATAAAGTAAGCATCAAACATAAACGTTAATGATAATGTATGGCCGTACTAGGTCTATATAAAATTCTAGCAAGAATGTGACAACAGCTGCTTTTGTTCATTCTAATAAACCAACCCTTCAGTTTAAAGTATTCAGTAAAGAAGAATTAAATCCAAATTAGGTCAGACAAAAACTTAAACTATATCATTAAAAAATAACCAGCTAAAAACATTTTAAAATCCCTAAATTTTTGCAGCCATCAATTGCATTCTAATAGTCTTCTACCTTACAGTGCAACAGATACAATTTGTCTTCAAACTTACAGTGCAACAGATACGATTTGTCTTCAACCATACAGTGCAACAGATATAATTTGTCTTCTACCTTACAGTGCAACAGATATAATTTGTCTTCTACCTTACAGTGCAACAGATATAATTTGTCTTCTACCTTACAGTGCAACAGATATAATTTGTCTTCTACCTTATAATGCAACAGATATAATTTGTCTTCTACGTTACAGTGCAACAGATATAATTTGTCTTCTACCTTACAGTGCAACAGATATAATTTGTCTTCTACCTTACAGTGCAACAGATACAATTTGTCTTCTACCTTACATTGCAACAGATATAATTTGTCTTCTACTTATAGTGCAACAGATATAATTTGTCTTCTACCTTATAGTGCAACAGATACAATTTGTCTTCTACCTTATAGTGCAACAGATATAATTTGTCTTCTACCTTATAGTGCAACAGATACAATTTGTCTTCTACCTTATAGTGCAATGAATATAATTGTTTACTCTATCTACATGGACTTGGTCACTTCATGAAATTTGGCAAGCATTTAGTAAATATTACAAGTATTTCATAAACAAAAAATCAGATTTTTTTTATTAAGTATTTTTAACAAAGATTTGTCAGTGTGTGACTCAGGCTCTCACTAGTATGAGTTCAAGGTGATTTCTATGTTAACATTTAAAATACTTTTATTCATCTTATAGTTTTTAAATTTCATTTTGCATAACCTTTGAAATGAATATCAAAGTTTTTTTCAGTAAAATTTTATATTTTATCACTTTTTCTGCACTAATACTACATGGGTTCAGTCATTTGACTGACCTGTGACCAACATAAAAAATACAACATAATATTTAAATTACCATTCTTTCTTTCTACAGTTATTGCAGATTATAAAGAATGTTACCCTTTCCATTTGTTTTTATTTAACTTTAGTGTTTTATTGCTCTTTGAACCATGTCTAACTAATAATTCCATTATACAAGCTGTAAATCACATGGCAAACAACTAGCTTCAGTTACAATACTGAGTGAAGTAATGCACAGCTACTCTTAAACATGCCCTGTGGAGAAATTATATTTTCATTATTTAATCTTATCTACCTTAATAAGTTTATAATTTTTACCCTTTCATTACTTTTCTTTTATAACAATGAATAAAAAATTGACATAAAAACAAGAAATTTTGTACTAACATTATGACTCATTTTTTTGCTGTTGACTCTTCAACAAAACTTAAAACCAGAGTTCCTTATGATATTAGAAATATCTAAAACAATTTTTATTAATTTGAAATATGCTCTTAAGAACACAAAATAATCACACACAAAGAAACAATTTCCTATAACTGTTATAATTCAACTGACTTTCAAACTACGGCATAGATGCCTTAAAATAATTCTTTTAGTACTTGATCTGAACTCGGTGATAGCAACTTTGATTCTGTAAGTAAAATAACTAAAACTCTCTACTGAAAACAAGGTAGCATTGTATGTCATTCAATAAATTGGTTATATGTGATGTAACAGTAAATGTTAGGGAGAATTAGTGACAATTTGTGAAAGAGAGGATGTGATAGAAGGGCATGGTAAGTGGATTTGACTTTTTGATTTATATCTCTCTAAATAAAGAAGATTGAAGGCTATCAAAATTAGACTATGTCTTAGTAATATCTATAGTATAATGAGTAATTTATGTTAAACTCAGGAGCTCATAGAAGAGTGATGAAATAAATATAAAATGGGCAAGTCAGAGCAAACAATTTTCATGTTACAAAAGCAAGCAGATTGAGGATATATTGAAACATTTCATTTTGAAATTAAAACTTACATAATATTAAAATTTGATTTATTAACTAAGTTTATTCATAATACATGGATAATAAAGTAGTTCAATTAAATTTTGAATGCAACTATGTAAAGTCCTGACATGTACACCTTTCTTTACCTACCTGTATCGAGAGAGTTAATACAGATCTTTGTGAAAAACAAGTTGCTAGTTACTTAAAAAGATACATGTATATCAAAGCAAAACAATAATAATAATAATCACAATGACAGTTGAAAATAGTGAAAGATCCTTAAATGTAGTTAATCTGTCAACTGTAAAACACCTCTCAATTGAGTTAATATGCTAACTGTAAAACATCCCTTAGAAACAAATACAGGATTTATTGAAAATCTTAACATTTTTACACTAAATGTAATGATTATTATCTACAACATGTTCTGTCAGGGCAGATTTGTAAACCTTATGGCCAACATAATACAATATACTTTTAAATTTTGCTAGCTGATATGTCTTAATCTGTTTGATATACAAAGTTTTTTAACTTAAATCCATGTCTTTACAACCTATACACAACTGAGCTTTTAAAACAAAATAATAATATTTAATTGAAGTATAACTGTTGTTACACTGTTCTGCAACTTAAATGCAAGTTAGAATTCTCATTGACAATGAAATATACATCCTTAAAAAAAAAGTGAATTTCTAACCATAAAAATAATTTTTAAACACACCATGCTTAAAGACTATTAAATTGCTGACCTGCACTTCTCCCATGATTCCGACATTTCCATAAAACTTTGTAAACTTGGCGGACGTGACTGTAAAATGCTCTCAAATAACATACATGCTCTCCTGGTGTTTTACGCAAGTAATTCATGGAACAGAACAATAGATCCTGAGAGCAGACTTCATCCAGTTTACGAAAAGCTGCATGAAGCTTATTTTCTATCTCCTTCAAAGAAATTTTCCTGGTTTGGTTAGAGTTTACTATTATAGCTTGGCTCTCTTCTTCTTTTAATAACTGTTGTACTTCACTTAATTGTTTGGAGAGTTTGATCCAAGCACTCATTTGCTCATGAAATGTTTTTGGCTCCAGTGAAAAATAAGGACAAGAAAGAATATCCTTAACTGGCATACTTAAGAATGGAATCAGAATTTCTTTGCCGAATGAAGTCTCACTCAAACAAGATATTTCAGTTAACAAAGATCTTATCTGTTGTGTCATCATGCGAGACCCTTTTACTTGCATCAGACCTCCTCTTCTTCGGGAAGCAGATTCAGAAGCCATCAATGAATACATTCTTTTGCTGGCTTGATCTAAAAGAATTGAGGCTATTTCTTGACTTGGAGAAGCAGTAAAAGCAAGATCAGAACAAACTAAACTATGAATCTGACTACATCCAGCTAGAAAAGACTTTTCATCTGCATTTAATGAGGAATTGGTGTCTTCAAGAAGAAACTTGATCTCTGGAACTGATGGAGCTGGAGTTAATGTTAACAGTTCTTCAATCAGTGACATTACTGTTGTAGTTGTCACACCTAAAGCAGCAGCTTCTGCAATTGCTGAAAGCTGACCACTGGACACTTTTCTTCTTCCAACCATCTGTCTATTTCCAAGAATGTTCATTGTGTTTAATTTCTTTATGGCATGTGCAAAATTTTCACTAAAAAAAACCTCTTTTGCATCACAGCTGTCCTGTAGTCTGAAAAGCTATACAGAAGAAATTAAAACTTTTTTAAAGTGGCACAATAATGTTAACATTTTCCATCTCTGATAATGTATCTTAGATATGTACTTACCTCTCTGCAATACTATTACCTTGTGTGCAACTGTTGTGGAATTTCCTGTGCATGCCACAAGCCTTAAACTCCCACTCTTACACATGTCTACATGTATTGCACCAGCTTATGAAATAATCATCATAATGCTTTAGCCTTCCACCAATAAGCAGACAACACAACTTCCATGCCCAGTAATTTTAGTGAGCACTAACACACTATCGCAAGCTCATTCTTGACAAAACAAACAAAATGAAAAGAGGTAAATACCCATCCGAAACATTTTCAGGTAAGGAAAGTATTAACTATCTATCTGTACTTTAAGAGCTATAATCCCACACTGAAGATGAATTACAACGATGAGCTCCTTTCTGAAACAGCTATAGAAAGGGAAAGTCCATGGGATGTGACTTCCATGAGGACACCACATCCTTCTCAAGCAAAGAATATTCTTTGCCTCCCCCCCTTTTTTTTCTTTGGCTAGGATAGCAGAGCAAAGGATATCAGAAAAGCCAGTGCTAGTGGTTATGTGTTGCCAAGGTGAGTGGAAAGTTAGAATGTGTAATGTAGCTAGGTTTTTAGGTTGTTTCACCTTAGTCAGATACTTACATGAGATAAATACAATAATGGTTGGCTGGCTGGTGGAAGGAGGAGGAGCCTTCACCTGTATTCTGAGACAAATCCAATTTCCATTCAGCTGGACATATCCACCAAAAAGTGCTTGGAAGATACTGTAATGAGGTATCCTCTACTACACTTCCAGTTTACACCCCAGCTCTAGATCTGAAATTAGAGAAAGGCCCAGCTAGTTTATTACTTAAGGTTGAGGCACCACTTGCAAAGGAAACTCTCCATATCAACTTTTCCAATGGCTTGGGAGTTGGGAAGTAAAGGTTCTCTTGTGCTCTTCTAAAAGAACAGGGGGGTATAACTCCAAAGAATGTGCACAGTCCACTGTTATGTGGCACAATCATCTGGAATTGGGTTCCCATCAAGAGTCAGTGCAATGTTTAAAGACAGGACTACCCTTGGTGCTCTCTGTTAAATAAAAAACCAGAGGCACAAGAAACCACTTAGTGATAGAAATAATGAAAGATGAATTTGTGAGGTGTAATCCTCATATCAGCCTGCAAGATCTCCTCCAATGGTCAACAGACAAATCCAACCAGAGAAAGTGGAAAGGAATCAGCCCCCAGAGAAGGAGGTAAGCCACAGGAAAACCAGATGATGGTGGGGTCTACAAAAATGGGGGAGTCTGAACAGGATGGTAGTGAATAGCCCCAACTGAACATAAAGAAAAATTATCAAAAATGGAATGATTTTATAATGATGAAATAGAAGGGGAAGAGATGGGAGAAAAACATCTGATAACCCTCTTGGGTAGCCTAAGTTTTCAGAAAAAAGGAGCAATCAGGGAACAAATTAACTGATCCTCATAATATAGATGATGGGAGGCTAAAAAGGCATAAGTGACCAAATGATGGTAACTAAGCAAGTAGAAGAAGAAAACAGGTAAAAGAAAGGAAATAAAGCAGGGGCAAGAAGTAAAAGGTGTGGATAAAATTACTTGGTAACAGACAATTATCGAAACAGATGGGCCTTCATCCAAAAACCAGGTAAAGCATACGTCTCAAAAGTGGGTGCCTCCCTGGCAGTTTGATGTAAGAAACGACCATAGAAGTGTAAGAATGGATGATTACAAAATGATCTAAGAAATGGAATTGAAGATTTTGACATGTCCAAAAAGATGCAGACATTACCAAATGTTGTGAAGTAGAGACTGCTCTTTTGGAGACCAAAATCTAGAGAAAGTGGATGTGTGAAGAGCCATCCTCCTGCAGCTGGAAAGGAATGAATACAAGGAAAGTTGCAAGACAGGAAGAAATAGAGGGGAGAGAAATACCCAGGGTCATGTTGGAATGATCAAGAAACCATGACAAACAAGGATGGAAAGTTGAATGGAGAGGTACAAAGACAGATAAGGGCTCACAAGACATGTGCCACAAATCCCATAGAGCCCACCAAAAGGATTGTGTGCGTAGAGAGGAGACATAGTTCTCAAAAGTGAGAGAATTTCTCATGTAGAAAGAGAAGGAAAGTGAAGAGCCTTCAATTCCTAGATCTCTATGTGTAAAGACACAATGGAGATGGTTAAGCCTGTCCCATACAAAAAACTCCCAGAACGATGATGTAGAAAATTGGAGATAAGAGGATGAGAATAAAGAGAAAGTGGAGTATGAAAAGCAAAGACAAACTTAAAGAAAGAACTAGGACAACTCAAGGGTCACCAGTGAAGGGAGACTACAGGTGATCAAGGTGGGCACTGAAGGTTCCAGAGGTAAGGAAGAAGTATCACCAAAGAATCTTGATGGCCCATCCAAAGAGAGGAGGAACAGTGAGTAGAAGTAATAATGTGAGTATAGGAGAGGGGTTGTCCTACAGGACAACCGAGCTATCCATGGTGTAGAGAGTTGGGTAGCCAGCTTCACCAGTCCGAGTTATTAAGGAATTGGGAACACACCCAAAGGTTGGTGCAGTGAGAAAAGTGAGCAGACTTAAGTCATGGTGAGAGGAAAAAGGAAGGCAGACACCTGAAAGGAAAGCAATCAGCATGAGGAGATTCCAAAAAGAGATAAAACAAGTCAAAATATAAACAGCAGAAGTAGTAGTAACCAGAGGAGCAAACAAATAAAAATGGGCGGCCCCATCAAAAGTGTCAGGGTTTCAATGAAGAACCACAGTAAGGAAGTGACAGAGCAAAGGAAAAGATGAGAATGAAGACAAGCACAATGCAGGAAAGAAGGAGAAAGAAGAGTGCACCAAGCAGACAGAAAGGACACAAGAGATTGGGGTTCAAGAAATACAGAAGGGGCATGACATTAGGCTCTAGAAAAAGAGTTGCGAAGATGAGAAATAAATGAAAACATTGATTAAAGCAACTCAAGAGCCTTTACGACATACATGCAAAAGAAATGAGTCATATACCTGAGTTATAAAAAAACAGAAAAGAAGGAAGTACCTGTTCCTCATCGAGAAGAGAAGAGCCAGAAGCAAAGGATGGAGGTGGAAGAGCTTGACAAAATTGTCCACAGGCAGTACATACTCCACAAAAGGCAATGAAACAGAACAAAAATGGGCTTGAACTGAAGAAGTAGGCAGAAGAGAACTAAATACCTGATGCACAATAGTGATAAAAATGTGTGAAAAACAGCAGCAGTGAAAGTATTGTCACACCATGCCTGAAGAGGAAGTCTGGGCTCTTCAGGATGCTTTTATTTTTTTATTTTTTTTTTCATTTTTTGTTGAAAATAGCACAAAGAAAAAATATGTTAGCTAGAGAAAATGAAGCTGCAATCAGGTGGATGGAACAGAAGTGCTAAGAGACAAAAACAGTGTAGTAATGATTAATGAAAGGCTGTCAATCAAAGTGAAAAGAAACTCTTAAAACCTGGGAAAAACATGTCTGAACACAAGTAGTGCCAAGGAAAGAATGAATTTATGATCATATGCTAGTGCTCACAGAGATTACCATGCATGGAGTTTGTGTCACCCACCTATCAATGGAAGGTGACAGCATTATGATGATTACATCATAGGCTGACACAATACACCTAGAGATGTATAGAAGGGAAAATGAGCAGGACATTTCACAGCAGTTGCAAGCAAGGTAATAGTTTTTAATGGTGCAGAAAGGTGAGTAAAATTTTTGAAATTATATATTTCATTCTTTAAACACAAAAATTAAAGTAAGATGAGTTCTTGAAATTTAATTTACAAAGTAAAAAATAAAGGTATTTCCAAAAGAACATTCTATTTTCGTTTTGAATACTTTAAGATGATCAATATATATATATATATATATATATAGTAATTTTGTGAGATTTTATTACAAAACCACTAAAGCCACATATAAAGATTCAAAACATTAAGTATTCAATTTCTAATAAGTACCACATATAAGTAAACTACAATATGTTTAAGTCTGTACAAAGAAAACTTTAGTACCTGGATTACTTGTTTTGCTTGTTCTTGATTTCCTTCTAACAATGAATACCTGAGAAGAGTATCAGGTGAAGCAAGCATTCTGTGAATAATTCCTAATTTCTGGGAACCATTACAATAAGTACTATGCTTTGGAGTTGTGCTTCTTTTTTGCTTTAACTTCTGTTGATGTTTAACTGCCCCTTCTCTACTGCTGCTACTTCCTGTCTGATCTATAGGAAAAACAACATTATATGTATTAGTGACAGCATAAAAGAAAAACCTTCAAAGCACAGTACTCCAAGATGTTTACATCTAAAGTATTCCAATGTACTTAAAAATGAGAATGACAGGATACTTCTAAAGTATATCCAATCTCACATTTTCTGGAAAACTAAGTTGGAAGTATATTGTTTAAAACAATTAAAGGATAATAATTGTTTTCTATATTTTAGCAATAAGAAAGCACAACTAATGTTACTAAATAATGTCAATTGCATACCTGATTTCATTTGCTTGCAAAACAAGAATCAAGTGACTTAAAAACTTCAGTGGTATAGAAAAGTGAAGTATGTTCTTGACAGTTTGAATAGCAATATGTGTATGTTTGTGTTTGTTGTTAAGCACAAAAAAAATTGTTAAAAAATAAGTACTGAGATCACAGAGAACATTTCCATGATGTGGAGAACAACAGATTGACTAAAAGCCAGTCAAACACAGCAAGTATTTGCAGAGTGACTACAAATCTCATGAAATATGGTTAGTAAGATGTAGATACTTTTTTAGAACACTAATATAATTGGCTGGACACCTGAACTAGATACACCACCACCATCAATTCTACACAACAATTACTATTGGACAATATGGACCAGATGCAACTGCCTGGCCTCAATTTTCTACCTGAATCAAAAGTTCAGGAGCAAGTTGGGAGTAATGACTTCACTCAACACACAAAACATTTTCTTGCAAACTACCAAATCAGATTTCCAAAACTAAACAAATGAACTTAAGAGGCCTATACATTCAAATTTGCTCTTTCTATTGGCTATAATCATGTCAACAAAATAAGGCCATGTGGTTTAGAAAAATTATTTCAAAGCTATGATGTATGGAAGGAACTTCTCTGGTGGGTTGAGTGATCTTTTTATATCTCAGCAAATGAATAATGTGGGAGGTCCAAATTTTTGATTCTGACCTGCAAATATCTACATCTTGTGTTAATAATTGATTGGACACTGAACTCATACTAGGAAACTTAAAAAAAAGAGAAACAGATGCAAGAAGAATCACATAACACAGAGTGAAGACAGAGAATTTATTAAGATACTTCCTTATGAAATTAAAACTTTGAGTTATAAACTATGTTTTAATGCCAAGTTTATTGCCACACAATGATAATAAAATTGTCTACATAAATTTTGAATTAAACTCTGTAAATGGTTGTGGAATGAGCACTTTGACCCACTCATATGCATAGGGTTAACAAATGTTTTATGGTAACCAATCAGATTTCAAAATCTGTAGAACCAAATGAGTATTTATAATCATGGACTCCACAACTGGTTAGCTGACACTTATTGTACATAAAAATGACATTATTTAATAACAGCAGTTGTACTTTGTAATACTTAAAATTATAAAAACTTTCATCATACCTTAATTGTTTGAAGCAATATTCTTATTTAACTAAGCATTCTGATAAGCTAAAAAAGCACTTTTTTATTTATCTTGAGTTTTCCATTAAAACTTGTTTTAGAAATATGTGCTTAGAGTATATTCCAACAAAATATCTTCAAAGTATACAACTAAACACAATGTTCCAAAAACTACAGTTAAAAGCATAAACCTAAATAAAGTATATGTAAACATTGTATCCTGAGAAATTCCTTTGTATATCTTATTTATATTTTATACTTGTGAAAAATTTGGAAGGAACTGATAAACCCACATCATATTATAAACCTAATTTATTATAAAGCACCATTTTCCATTTAATTTGCCTTCGTAAGATGTTCTACAAATATAAAAAACAGTAATAATTTAATCTAGCACATAACTATATAATCCACTGTAAATAATTTATCATACTGTCTTCATAGTACAGCTATTAGTTATATATATATATATATATATATATAAACATATATATCGTAATGATCCTTACCAAACAAGTGCATGGGTGGAGTTTAAAGTGCATATGCCAAAACCTCTTACACATTTACATTCAAAACATAATTAGATAATTTTATTATAAATTTTTGTCAATAAACTTGGCACCAAAACATACTTTATAATTAATTCAAATTTTATAAGTTTTAATTTTTAATTTCAAAGGAATACATTCTCAATCTTCACTTCTCTGTATCACATGACACTTCTTCATTCATATTGCCCATTTAAGATTTCCATTTTAACCCTACATGGTCTTTTGATTGTGGCCTGACTTGTGTACTTACAGATACTGCTAAGACATAACCCACATTTATAGTCTCCAATCTCCAAATTGCCTATTTTAGATGTTCTTTCTACCCCAGTTTCAACTTATGAATTTGATGTAAATTACATACTTATAGTATAGGTATGGCTAAGACATAATCTAAATTTATAGCCTCAATCTTCTTGCTTTATTGAGATATAAACCATAAAATCAATACCACATGCTACACACTCCTATCACATCCTGTCTTTAAAAACATTTCAATAATTCTCTCATATATTTGCTATTGGATTATTTATAATCAATTAAAAAAAAAATGAAAATTCAATTTATTGAATTCAACAGGGATTGGAGCCACAGAAATAACCAGTTTTGAACAATTCACCATCATTTTCATTGCCAGTGTTGGAAGTATACTTGCCCAGGTATGGGAATTATTTTAACCCATTTCTAACTTAGTTAGAAAGCTAGCTAACTAAGTTAGAAATGGGTTATTAGTTTTAGAACATTGTATTTTATATGCAAGGCAATATTTTGAATTCGAACTCGCATATTTGAATTTTTAAAAAAAATCTGAAACCACATCATTGTTACTAAGAATAAGGCCTAGTGTTAGACTTTTATCTTACAAGAAGCTTGTAAAAAATAGAAGATTTCAGATGAAAGTACTCAATTTCTTGTTTTTATGTATGTTTTTTATTTATTGTTATAAAAGTAACCAAATGTGAAAAAGTTAGAAGCTTATTAGGTTGGGTAAAACAACTTAAATGCAAACAATTAAGTTTTTCTTTTTTTCAGGTATGCACATGAGCTGTTAGTGTGTTATATAAATTTTGTTTACCATAACCTGATCTATGCTCTAGCCATGTGATTTATTGCTTTGTTATGTTACTTTAGCAGTTAGACACAAATCAAAAAGCAATGAAACAATAAAATTAAATGAAAGGATTTGTGAAAAGATTATAGGCTTATAGCTCTTAGGATAAATAATTGCAGTCTTTCTGAAGAAAAAGGACTTTTGATTTTCTTTCATATTTTTCAGTTTTCAGTACAGTTAGTGTTAGGGAAGAGATAACTCACAATGTTTTACCCAAACAAAACTTTTGATATTAATTTACAAGTTTTTATAAAAAACTGTATGGTGAAAAAAATATTTCTTTACTAATAAATGAGAAAATTACCTTGCACTCAGATAGTCAGAGTCAGTTTGATTCCATAAATTCACAGACAAACTTTGCGTAAAAATATTTTCTTAAACAATCTGATTATTTGTATACAACAGACCTGTAATGTTTATCAAAAAATTTCCAAATTTCATAAAAATATACATAGTAAATTCCAAATTATAGTAAATATTAATTCTCCAATTGGACTGACACCGTGCATGTTGGGCAAAACAACTTACTAAATAATTACTTTTAAATCACAGTTTTCAAAGAATTTAAACTGAACAAAAATTTCCAAATAAATATATCTATACAATAACTTATATTAATTACTAAGCCTTAAACACAATTCTAACTTATAAATTTAAATGATCAAACAGAAATTTCTCTCACACATCCTCTGTAGCATAATTTGTAATGTAAAAACTATATGCTTTACATTCTACTGATACTTGAATACTAGCTTTAATGGAATAAATTTCTTATAAACATATTAATACACTTTAATATTTTCAGAGAATTAATGCAGAAATTCTTTATTGATCCTTCAATTTCAATTCCTTGCCATCTACAAATAACAAGCATTTCTTACATTTTCAAGCAAATAATAAAAGAAAATAAAAATATCTATTTCTTTTTGTACAGCAGTATCAAAACAATTTATAGCTTCAGAAGTAAAGATGATGATGTTTTATTTACATTCAACTCAGGAAGCACCTTGTGTATCCACAAGATTTATTTCATGTGAAGCATGTTTTCATTGGCCACACTTCCGAAGGTGCTGAAATCATTGATTATAATTCCAATGTCACAGTCTTACAAACAGTGACAAAGAATGGTCAACTGATTATATGGCATATTTTGCACATGCTCTTTAATTCTTGAGTTCAAACAACAAATTGTAGAGTCCACATAGCCATGGTTATACACTGGACATGTAAATTTGTAGATGATGTAGAAGCAATGCATTTTAGGGATCCTGCCTTTAAATTTGAAATAATTACATATATGACATATTGGTTGGAAAACAATTCTAAACTTAATTTGCAGATAGCATTTGTTATTCAAAATCACTTTAATGTTTTTCCTCAATTCTATGGCATGTTTGCCAGTAAAAGGAAGAATACAATGAACTATTTCTTTGGTTTCAACGTTTCTGATTTTCGAAATGTACATAGTTTTCAACTAATTTTCAATAATACTATCAATTTACTGTAAAGGAAAACTTTTTTCTTTCATAAAAAAACCTTTATATTTTATACTTCTATATTATATACCCAATGAATTATAAATTAAATTCTTCTCAAATTCAAAAGGTAAAAAATTATCAGAATGAAACTATTGCCCAGTAAACATTGGTTTATGGTAACATTTAGTCTCAAAACTTCTACCTGAGTTAACTATCTTGGTATATAAAAAAGGTAAAGTATTTACAGTTTGTTCTTCTATTGTAAATTTAATATTGTTGTGTTGACTGTTCAAATAATTTTGAAATTCATAAACATCAAGTTTATTTTTAAAAACTGCAAATGTATCATTAATATATCTTCTGCAGTATAAAGGTTTAAACTGTTTGGGACAATTTTCTAACCAAATTTTTTCATGATAACTTAAAAATAAATTACCTAAACTTGGTGCAACTGTTGAACCCAAAGACACTCCATCAAAATGTTTCTAGTGACAACCAACTAGACTAATTGTGTCATGTATAGGTACCTTCACATATACATTAGCAGGTTTTTTTGATGGGTTTTTCGAATATCATTTAATTAATGAATTTACAGCAACAGTTATGAGTCTTCCAAAAATGCGTCTAAACTAGATTTTGACAAACCTGTCTATACTGCTAGTCTAGACATTGAGTCTTTACGTACCATTAAAGAAAGTAATAGAGTTAGGTAGTAATTTAATTTTTCAAAATTCTGACATCATAAGGGGTATAACAAAACCTCTTTTGCATTAAGTTATTAGAATCTGTCACCAAAGAGTCTAATTTGTGGCACAAGGTGCATCCCAAGTTGAATGTAAATAAAATAATTTAGTGATTAACTACACAAAATATTACTCTATTTCCAAATTGTAGAAATATTTTATTTGCTAGTCTAATTTTTAACATAAATATCTAAAGATTTACTTTTGTTTTGGTTTTATGTAATAAAGATACTAAAAAACATTTCATATCATTACGACAAAAAAAAAGTGCAAATTTGAGATTATCATTGAGTTCACCAGCTTCTTTTGAAAATGTAGTCAGCTTTAAATCTCATGAAACTTGCACATAAATGTTGTTTTCCATAACCCGAGCTATGCTCTAGCGAGGTGATTTATTGGTTTGTTACATTACTTTAGTAGTTACAGTTCAAAAAGCAATAAAACAGATACATAATACATAGACTTGCTAATGACAGCAATGCTGTTAAAATAGTATGTGAGTAAATAATAAGTTAGCAAATATAATAAACAATTCTATTATTTTTTACTTCTTTACACTAATAATTTTTCTGTCACTTAAATTCATCTATAATTTGATATGTTAAGAAATGTATAAAAATAATAAATGCATAAACCAAAATGTGACATCTTTAAAACAATATTTTGTACAATCAAATGGAAAAACAGGAAATTAGATTTTAAAAGGTAATTGCTAACTAATATAACTGTTTAAACAATTTTAAAATATAAGAAAAAAGTACAGTTAATGATTAAAGTTTACAATTGTCTACTGCTCTTTTTACAGCATAGTGAATATATAAGGCCTTATAAGTTTGGTCTAATGTTTAATAAAAGTGAAAAGCATGATTAGAAAATAATTGGAAACATTAAGGAATTGTCAAACTGGTTTATCTAACTGAAACTGAACTTCCTGTATGTATGTTTGTTATATGAATTCAATCTATACTTTCTTGCTTTTCAGTGATGTGTATATGTGAAAGATTAAAAGTAAGATGCTAGAAAAGTATTTATTAGCATATTTGGTATACTGCTTCACAATTGAAATATATGAGAGTAACAACAGTCAACTGAAGTTTATCTGTATAAATTAAATACAACAGTTTCAACACTTTTACTTTTCTTAGCAGAAAAAACTAGATGAAAGTATAATACTGGTCACCATGCACTACGCACAAAGCTACACAATGGGTTTTCTGTGTTCTACCAACCACAGGTATTAAAACCCAATTTTTAGCATTATAAGTCCTGAAGCTTACTGCAGAATCATAAGGGGACCATGTACAGGGAACACAAGTTTGTATAAGTAAAGGAAAAAAACCTCACAAGGTATTACCATAAAATGAAGAAGAAAAACAGAGAAAATATATTCAAATATATCTTAGTAAATGAATGAAGTACAACTGAATCATCTTTTATAAAAAAAAAAAACTTGATGAAACCAATATTTACTGCATACTAAAATAGTTTATATTGAATAATTCATACAGACAGATTTTTGGACTTGCTTATTTTGAACCATCAACACACACACACCTGCATTATGAAATATTTTTTTTGGATCATCAATATGCTTACATACCGGGATCATTTATCTTTTTTCTGTAATTATAGAAATATTGGAGTAAATTTTTAAAATAAGTAAGTTCAGTAATATGTATAAATTATTCCCATCTTCAATCAATTCTTACGTATATAAAAAAATATGATAACACAACTACCCACCACTAGTAAGAGGTGTTTCATTTTTTTTCCATGGGCTGAAAGAACTTGAATCCAAGTAAACAGGTTCTGATGTTATCTGGCTCTGGGTAACACAGCTTCTCTTTCTTTTCAGACGTACAATTTCTGATACATCAATATCATAGATTCCAATTTTATTTGGATCACTTTTCTTAGAAACCAACTGAAACCGCCACTGAGCTTCACTTACATATTGTGACAATAGTGACAGTCTTTTTTGCAGATCTGCTTCAGATACTGATGACTGTAACACACTACCCACTAGAGTGTTAACATGAAAATGCTGTTGCTTTGTCTCCTCTTGGTTCTAAAGAAAAATATAATTCTTAACTGCTTATTACCTTTTTTTAAAAGAAACATTTAAGGATTTTCAAAATTTTTAGGTGATTACTTTATTTTTTAGATTTGTTTTTAATCACTTAATAAACTGATGCATAAACTTCATGACTTTTATTTTCTATTTCTCATTCTCTACCATTCCACTAACATTAACAACATTTAATGAACAGTCCATGTATTTAAATAAATATAAAAATTATCAAGTAGTGATTTGTCTTTATTAAATCATGAATTTTCAGAAAAAATACAATTATTTTATAGTGAAAATCATTGTCAACAAAAAAAAAATGTTCTTATGCAAAAATATACTTTGTATTCAGATCGTTATATATCCAAGATTACTCTTTAAGCTTAATGTTTTATTATACTTGATTTTTATGTCAAAACTCATAAACAATCCCCAATTTACCTTTTGGCCAAGACCCTTGCTTCCTAGAACTTCAAATACAGCAGTCTTAGCATCCAGAATAGAATCTTTGAGATAAGCTAAAAGGTCTCGAACTATTACCTCATTACAGAGAAATCCTATTTTAGAGTAGCCAGAAGAACTGCTAGAGGTGCTATGTGAGCTGCCAGCTGATTGACTCACACAAAGTCCTGATTTTTCTGTTGGAGAGTCTTTCAGTTTATCTGTTGTAATGTAGAATGTGAATGGAGAAGATGCAGGCTTAATGAAATCTGAATCAAAATCTTGATCTTCTGCTTGATCCTGTTTTTTCTGTTCAGTATCAAATATCTGATGAACAGAAATTTCATCTTTTCCAAAGTGAGACCCATGAAAAGAAATATCCACTTGTTCAGTAAAGGTGTTTTGCTGAGAACTAAGATGAGAAGAAGTTGGATTCACGTATCTTTCCTCCATATCATTATCGTACTCTGAATCAGACTCAAGCTCTAAATCTTGAATATCACTGTTCATAACAAACAATAAAGAAAATATATTTTCCAAAATCTCGACACGAAATGATACAGGAAAGATTTCTTGAAGTTCTGTTTGAACTTCTTCAAGCAACCTGATGACATTAGCATAGTAAGTTTCTTGCAAAGATTTCTTATTGATGTTTTTCTTTTCTTCCACATTGAGGTCTGATTGTTCTAACACAGCTTTAGGTTCACCAATACCTGAAACAACTTTCAACTTTGCCGTTCTTGAGATAGCTTTCTCAAATGACATTATATCTCTACTATTATAAATAGCATCCATCACATACTGAACAGCAACAAATCCTTTATAAATCATCACATCTCGCAGCTGGAGTAGATTCCATCTTGTAAGGTCATTTTTCCATATTTTCTCATTTAAAACTGCACTCACTAAGAACAATAAACCTGAATTTACTACTTGTACTATGAATATATTAGTTATTTACCTGTAATATACTTTTATTTACATGTATTATTTGTTACTTTTCACACATCAAATTGCACTTAGTTTTATTCTTTAAATTGAGTGAAAATGCATTAAAAAAAAAGCATGGTTGCATATTAAACTTTACAATAACATTTCATTAGCCTTAAATATTAGACAAAGTATATACATTGCAAGTTTCTTGAAATTAGAATTTGTATCACTAATTTTCAGCTGCAATTTTTGATGTAATAACTAGTTAAAACATCAACAATACAAACATGATGTAGAATATTTACATTTCTACTAAATTCCTCTTACTGACACATGATTATACTCAATGTCCAAGTATTCTTATAGAAGTATCTAACACTGTTTTGCAAAACAGAATGTGAATTCAAATCAGAAATCATGATAAACTTTCAAAAATAAAAAATTCACAAAAATCAATAAAAAAAAAATTAAAAAGCACCATTTACACTTCCCCTCCAAAAAGAAATTGTCTTTTCCTATAGTCATTCTACCAAGTCCTAAAACTATGACCATAGGCTTAATATTGGTAGTGGTATATATTGTTCACACAAACACATATAGAGACAGTACAGTTTAATAAATATATTGATAACCCATATATCTAAAATCAAATTTTTTCATGCTAGAACTTTCTGTATTACAATCACAACCAATATAGAGACAGTACAATTTAATAAATATATTGATAACCGATATATCTAAAATCAAATTTTTTTCATGCTATAACTTTCTGTATTACAGTCACAACCAATGTAGAGACAGTACAGTTTAATAAATATATTGATAACCGATATATCTAAAATCAAATTTTTTCATGCTATAACTTTCTGTATTACAGTCACAACCAATGTAGAGACAGTACAGTTTAATAAATATATTGATAATCGATATATCTAAAATCAAATTTTTTCATGCTAGAACTTTCTGTACTAAAGTCATAACCAAGATTTTAAGTGTGTTATTTGTTCATACACACTTGCTTACTAGAATAGTCATTATGAAAGACCAAGCATACTTTATACAAATAGACTGTAGCAAATTGTTTGTTTTACAATATCCTGCTATTATTGTTGCATGAGCTATGAAATGTCTCAGTATAGTGGATTTAAGATCACATTAACAACTGCATATTAAATACCAAGTTTAATACCTGAAGAAGGTAGTCCATCTTTCAAAAGATTTATCATTTCAGAAGGTTTCACATGTTTCAGGCCAATCATGTTGTGAATCGCTCTTATCACTGACTGATGTTGAAGTTTGTCAAAAATCATCCTGGCTTTGCTCAAAACTTTCATGGTTTCTAGATTAGGGTGCAATTTTCTAGAATTTAATAAAATGGCCAGTTTAGTTTTGGTTAAACAAAGGTAATGAGTGTAAAGATTTCATAATGCACTACTAACCCTGGGGAACTGACCATTCTTAAGCAAGTAACACAAAACTTTGAATTAACTCTTGTGTCACAACAAGACATTCTACAGTTTCAAAAAAAAAATATTTGCAAATTTCATGGCAGCATGTAGGAAGCATAATGGCAAAGACATATCAAATAAACCATCATAGTTTATAAAATCATAATAAATGTATTATTCTCCGTATATGAGCTTGGTCATTTTTACCGACCTCGAAATCACCATATCACTACAAAACTATACATACTTCTTCACGAAAATTGGCAAGCTTTTAATAAACATTCCAAGACTATTCTACACAAAAAAATCATATTTTTTAATGAAGCATTCTTACTAAAGATTTGTCTCTGAATTTACAAGGGCTTTACTGACTCAGACCAAGTGCAAGATGATTTTTATGTTAAGAATAAAAGTACTTTTTGATCTTAGTTTTTCAAATTTCATTTGCAAAACCTCTAGAACCTCCTAAATGCTTTTTTTTACCACAGAACTAACTGTATATAGGCTTGATCAATTTGAACAACCTTGTATCTACCACATAACGAAAATTACAAATTAAATATAAATTAAAATTTTTTCTATCTTAGATGACTGCTCATTGTAACAGACAAATTACACACTATTTATTTTTACAGCCAAGATAATACTTTTCACATCTCCTGGTCATTAGATATGTTGCTTTATAGTTGTAACTGGAGTACAGTAAAAGCAATTTATGTAAACAAACTACTGAGTTACCAGCTCACTAAGTCAAATTACAACATGTTGTGGTCATGAGATGTGCTCAAGCTATCAAATATTTGTTTTATTTAATTTTTTCTCATTTAAGTTTTATTATATAATTTAATAAGTTTCTATTTTTTACATTTAAGCTACTTTTATAAAAATAAATAAAAAGATATACTTAATAAAAGTTAACTCTAATTGTTGATAGGATTGTTATTAGTACATTATTAAGTATTTATTTAAAATATGCAATTTAGAGTACAAAATAATAACAAGCACAAATAATAAAATGTCCTATAACTATTATAATTTAAGTGATTTTCTAAGTAAGCTATAAGTAGCTTAAAATAATCCTATTGACTGGTCAAGGTGACTCAGCAAAAGCAAAGAATAAAACTGCAAGCAAAATAATTCATAACTCATCATAATGAGATAGTCTTATAATGAATTCAGGAAATTAAAATCTTCTCTTTCTGTTGGTAATAAATAATCCAACAGCAAATGTCAGAGAGAATTATTGACATTTTTTGAAAGAAAGGATGTGACAGGAGGGTGTGGCATGAGGGTTTGACTTTCTGGTTTTAATATATCTCAGTAAAGCAAGAAGGCTAAGGCTGCAAAGTTATAATTTTCTTATACTGAAAATGTACTTACTTCCACTCACATAAATATATATTATCGTTCAGTGCTGCCCTCTATACAAAAATAAAATTATGCATGCCACAAGCCTTTTATCTCCACTCTATTGGAATTGACTAATTCCAATGTGTGTCTCTCATGCAAATCATCATGTGTCAATCCTCCACCAATAAGAGTGCAACATACTCTCATGATGCATGTGACTCCCTCTATTCAATTCTACCAAACTATCACTTTGAGTTTTGGCAGAATATTGAAGCACCGGTTTTCAGTGGGGAGGAAGTGTGAGGAGAGTAAGTACCTATCAGAAATAGATTTTCGATATAGGAAAATTATAACTTCCAATACGGTACATTACCTCCACTCACTTAAATAGAGAATCCCACATTGAGTAGGTGGAGGGACCAGTGCAAGGGAAAGAAAGAAGTATCCTTCGAAAGCATGACTTGAAATGTAACATGAAACATTTGTTTATCCTTTAAACTCGTAACAGTATACATCTATTTATAATTAAGCTTTATTGTTTTATTGCCCTTTGAACCATGTCTGACTATGATAGGACACTCCCTAAGAAAAGACAATCAGATTCTAAGATCTGATGTGGAGGATTGCACCACTTCTGAACTAGGTATACTCTTCGGCCATCGTAGAAAGATGTTACACATATGGGTAGAAACAGAGGTACACATCCAAGTGGGAGAGAACTAAGGTCGAATAGTGATCCAAACCATACAATATTTATGCAACTCTATTCCAGAAAATATAAAAGTGGATAAAACTAAAAGAATGTGTCCTAGGTGTAGAGTGGCTAGAGTGCAACAGATTGTACACAGAAAGTCAATTACAGTCCAGCCCCATTTATCCAGTCAGCTCTGAGACTAAGCAATTAATGGCCACATAGCGGGGTGGTCATATTACTGGGTGTCATTGTATGGGGTCAAATCTGGGTTCAGACTGAAGCCTCAAAGGCACAGTACATACCCCTACAACTCACCCATAACACTCACCTTTCTATGTTCCTGTTTGATACAAAATGTTGTAATAACATATTTACATACCTACTTTTGAAAAGTTTTTGGTGTACAAAACTTGAAGATAGCTTTTATATGCAGAAGCATCTGTTAGCTGAATTCTTGCACAAATATTAAAATATAACGTTGACAAATGGAAACGTCGGCACATGTAGATATGTAGATCTTGAAAGCCGAGTTGTTCAAAACCTGAAAATAGCGTTGATAACTGGACCAATTGTTGGTTGAGATGTTTCCGCATATAAAAGATACCTATTTTTTGCATTTCTTGTCTAAAAAATAAACTTCTATACTGTATTTTTGATTAACAGATTTTTAATTATTACAGTTGTTCATGTACTTTTGACACTGCCAAATGAAAATTAAATAGCGTCCAATAAGATTGATCACAAAACAATCCAGTAATGTGATAGAAGAAATAAGCTTACCTGAGTTCTGCCAATCTTGAATTTTTGGGCCAGGGTATGGTGACTTTTCTCTTCACTCTTGTGGATGAGGTGGACATTCTCATGGAGGGTCAGCTCCTTCCTCTTGGGGGTACTACCAGGCATGGTTAATCCAGGTAATAGTCACAGTGTGTGTCAAAGCAACACAAACGTCCCAGAGGAAAATGAGGATCCAACACAATCACAGTCCAAAATTGACTGAGCAGTAGTAATCACATTGTGTGCATAGTATGGCAGAACAGAGACAATTGATTTTGGCTGAGAAAGCAGAGCTCTATTTATTGCAAAATGGAGGGAAAGGTGACAAAACTTCAAATGAATGTGCAAATTTTCCCATTTGAACAAATCTTTTGTTCACAAGAAGACCAAAGAGACACTGAACTAGAAGTGTTACAAATAACAAAGTTTAAAGGAGTGTGAAAACATACTGTTTGTTTGATCGTGTATGTGTGATTGTGTGATCATTAGTGCAGCAGGAGGTGTGAAGCATCAGGTAAGATCAGCATACCATTAGTTGGGGAACATCAATGGTCACCTGGTTTGTAACACCTACAAGACATGGCTTCTATCATTCGATGTATGGTAGTGGCCTCACTTTTACTGAAAGGTCTCAATTGGACAGTGGCAGGTGAGAGCCAGCCTAGGTGGCTGCAATACTTTGTTCAAAAAGACCACTTGGGAGTGGGAAACAGGTGACCACAAGTCCAGTTGACCAGAATACGAGTGCCCATAATAGCGGATGTTTTACAAATATAAAATAGAAGAAAATATTTGGGACTGAGCCATAATGGCTGTAATTAATGGTTGACCGCTATATCACATTGACTGGTATGTGTGTCTGGACTGTACATCCAAAATCCATGCTGCTAGAAAATGACATCCACTTGGGGGTTGGAAAGAGGATCATACCACCGGCAAGTCGAGTATAATCCAAAACCCAGCTATCGGGTACTGACATCCATGTAGGTGTAGGAAAAAGGATCATACCACTGGCAAGTTGACTACAATCCAAAACCCAGGCCACCAGGAACTGACATATATGTGAGGGTAGGAAAGATGATCATACCAGTGGCACCTCAAGTTCAGTAGGCCAGAGGGAATCAAGATCCCCCAGAACCATGAATGGGTCACATATTAATAATAATATAAGAAATTGATAGATTGATCTGGGAACCCAACATTCGGTATTGACAAGATGTCTGCATAATGTAAACCATCTCACTCAAAAATGAAATGGACCAGAACTGCCCCAAGCACAGTAACATTCTCAGAATAATAAGCATCGAGGAATAGTGAAAGTAGAAAAACCATAATAATCTGAAAGTACCTCCACCGTGACCCACAATATGGATGGAGTAACAAGAGCATAATTTAGGGAGGAATATAGACATCTGTAATACATGTGTGAGGAATTATGTTGATTGGTTCAACTCTAAATCCAAAACCCGGTTGCTGGGAACCGATATCCATGTGGGGGTAGGATGAGGGATCCCAATCAAAGGAGGGAACTACAATTTTGATAACTCACTTGTATTTATATTAGTTTTATAATGGAGGACATCATGTCATCTACACCAGCAGAACACCACTTCCCTACTTTCAACTGAATGGTTGTATAATCATTTCTCTATTTTGTTTGAATTTTGTATTTTATTTCATTAACCCATTCAGGAGGATGCTGTCATGGTCCATCACCCCAGCAGCTTGGAATTGGAAATTGGTAAGGACTCTTAAACTGCACTAGAAGAAAAGAGGGGGAAAAAAGGTGGTGGAAAGTCCAAAAAAATTACACCACCTAAGACAGTGCTAGGGGTGACCACAAAACCCTATTTTTAAAAGCAGACCATACTGATTTATTCAATACAAGACATGGTAGGGATGGGCAGCTATCCCCTTCTGCTTTACCCATGTAGTCATGGGTGAGTACGGTCCAAAATGGGGAAATTTTTTGTTACAAATTCCATTGTAAGGATAAACCTACAAGAGATCTTGTGGAACACCCCATCTCTGCAGTGTGCAGTGCATGGCCATGGAAATATAATATGTCAGTGGACATGGCTGTATAGTGT